AGTTCAGAGATACAGCTAAATAAGGGAGAAAATATATGGGTGTTATAAATGTAATGCACTCATAGAAAATGCAAACTTAAATTTTCCAAGTAAGTTGACTTTAGAAAACTGGGAATGGATCACTTCTGTAAGTTACGATATATATATTTTTTAACACATCAGGTAAATAACTGTGTATTGCCACACTAGAAACTGATGAGCATTTCATTTACTTTTTACATTGTAGGGTAATAGAAACCACATGGCCTGTTGATATCTTTGAACCAATAAAATAAGTCAGCCTTTACCAGAAAGCAGTAGATCTTTTCTTCTGCTCCCCTTAATTCAGAAGCCTCTACTGTTCTTGGATTTTATTTTCCCTATTTTCCTCTCAATATTCCAATGACTAAATTCAACCAACATCATTTTTGCTAGCACAGATGGGAAAGTACATTTTAAAATGGAATAGTTTTAACTGTTAACTTACCAGCTTTGTGTTGCATTAGACATGTTTAGTACATTGCCTTGGCATTTCCTTATTCACTCACAGGGTGAGTGACTGTAAACCAACTGGATGAAGGAATAAGTAAAGGACCTTATTAGAAAAAAGGTTGTCCACTGCATGTTCATTGGTGCTTAGAGTAGAGGCCCTCTTTTCAAACCCTGGACAACAAAAGTTCCTGCCTAAATGATTTCAGTCTATATTAAACAGCATGGAATAAGGGGGCTTACTGTGCTGAAAAGGTCAGGGAACAATGCCTTAATGAGAGCATCAAATGTGGACATAAGCAGAATCTTTGATTCCCCTAAGGTTAATTTGGTAAGTGGTATTATCCACTTCTATTAGAAAGTAAGGCCTAGAGAAGTCAGGTAACCTCCTCAATATTGCAAGGTTACTGAATGGCAGTGTGATGGATTTACCCAAGCCATTTGTTTTCAAAGCTCATGTGGTGCTTGCTCACCACACCAGACCCCTCTCAGCTATAGACTTTTGATAAACTTGATAGTGCTCATTTTCCCTGAATTATAATCAACTTATTTTCTACCTGTTGTGAAAATGTGGTAAAGCCCTCTGCTATTTGTGTAGTGGTCTGAAGTAATGTCTCTGGAATTTGACTTATTTGAGGTGTTGTTACTGAGTCCCCACAGCTCCCAGAGACCACAGGGCAAGACGACATTTTTTGGAGTAGTGGCAGGCCAGCCTCAGCTCACCAATGACCAGTGTTTTTCTTCCCATGCTGCCTTGACTCTGAACATGGTTTCCTAGAGCCAACAGGTCCACCAAGCTGCCCTGACCTGAGTGTGGTCTGGGCTGAGTTTGTCCCATCTTGTAGATCTAGCTGTAGGTTTCAAAAATGAATCCACCAGTTACAAGCAAAATGGACCAATCAGGTACAAATTAGCTGTCAGGTTCTAGCCCACGTCATTAGTTAATTATTTGGACTGAGAAATGCAGAATGAGCTGATTGGTATTAAACAGTCCAATCAGAAGCTTAAGATTGAAGATGGCTCAATCAAGCTTTTCGGGTGGGGGTTTCTGAATGGGGTAAAAAGCAGAGCAAGAGCTAGTATCTTCCATCAGTCTGTAGGCAGCTTCCGAAGAGAAGCTGTTGTTTGGACCACCTTTGAAAGGAGGGTTTTGCTCTGAGCTTCTAAAGAGAGAGATGCGTCAAGCAATCTCTGTAGGTCCTAATAGCCATCATAGATCTCTAGACCTCCCTCAGCTGCTATGTCTGCTTCGAGCCCAGCCTCTTACAGTGCGCGCAAGAACTCAGTCCAGTGTCTCACAGAGCTGACCACAACCGCAGGTTCTCTGGCACCACCTCCTGTTGCTGTGGAGTCTATCCCTGTCTGGTTGGGCCGTCAGAAAACTGCTATAGTTCTGCTGTAGTGTCAGTTCCACAATGGCCTTTGTTTGGGACTTCTGAGGCACTGCAGATACTATTTGGGGTAAAATAGCTGGCCAACTTGTAGCCTTGAAAACTTTCCTTTTCCCCAATCTCCTGTTTCTTAAATAAACCCGATCGCTGGATGTTGAGCCTGAGTGAAGTTGAGCAGTATTGCAATTTTGGATGTGGGTGAGAACCCACCGACAGTAATCTGTTTCCCACCATGGCACTGTCCCATAACCATTGTTTAGCACTCCTTGGCACTTTTGAGCACTGTTTCTGTACTGTTTCAGTGTGAGAGGGGTTCCCCCCACAAGTATGAAATGTATCAGCAATCCCATTTTTATATTGTCAGCTTATATACTACCTTTCAAAGGAATGCATGTAATATTCTTTCAGCTCTTTTGATTGCTCAATGGCAATATCACAAAATGTTCTTTTGAAAAGGTCATTATGGATGTTCTTCACATGTGGTTATAAATGTATGCTGTTGGCAGTGGACTAAAAACAGTTTAGAAAAGTAGATGTCACTTTCCTAAAGTTCTTGATTCTTATTCAGTACCCAGAGGCATTGGGGTTTAAAAGCTACTTAGCAGCTCTAAGTACCTCATGCAGGACTGATGGCTGAGGATACACTGATGGATTTATTTTTTAGAAGGTATACTAATGAAAGGCACAACAATAATAGTGTAATAGTAGAGATTTGAGCAGATTTTAGTTGAGGAATTGAAATTGACACTTGTTAACCACTTCTTGTTTGAAATATTGCCAGAGCGTAGAGACAGGAAAATTTTGCTTGATTTTATTGCATCATTTCCTGAAAGGTCGTTTATGAGGCATTTTGTAGTGTTTATGTGAGTCTTTTCAGCTATCTCTAAAAGAGACTTTTTTTTGTCTATAACATTAATAATGATACTAGATTAAGGAATGATCATATCTAAACCTTTTTATTTTTACTTAGTAGTTCATTTTTACTTTGTTTTTGTAAAATAATCTCTCATTAGCGTTAGATTGCACATCTCAAATATTTGAATGACATTGGCAAGCGCCTTTTCTACCCCATCACGTAAGGTAGGTACATCAAGTAACACATGTTTAGTTTCCTAATCTCCTACAGTACTAAATGTATGTTTAGTTAGATTTAGTTGTAGGGTCAGGAGGTAGGCTAAATTCCACTTTTATTTTCCCTTCAAGCAATGTAAACAAAACTGAGCTTTAAAAAATTCTTGAAATCTCAAATCATCCACTCACAATAATGGGAATTTTAATACTACATCTTTAAAATTTTTTTTTTCTCTTTAACTATTTTTTTTCTTACAATGTTGTAGTGTCCGTTTTCCCACCTCTGTATCATCTGTGAGCTGTCATCGTATTCTCTTGCATTCTCCCTCCACCCTTGCTGCCTTCCTGTATGCCTCAGATCTATGGTCAGCTTGCTAGTTTGAACTTTTCTTGACCTTTTGTTTGGCTTCTCTATATTCCACATATAAGTAAGACCACCCAATATTTACCTTTTTCCTTCTGATTTATTTAGGCTAGCATGATCCCCATCCAGCTCCTTCCATATTGTAGCAAATGGTATGATTTTTGTCTTTTGATCAGTGAGTAATACTCCATTGTGTAAATATACCACATCTTTTTGATCCATTCTCTAGTTTGGGGCAGCTGCAATAAACATAGGAGTGCTGGATTTTTGTTTTTATTTTTTGTTCTTCAGGTAGATCCCTAACAGTGGAGTCACTGGGTCATGTGTTAGATTCATTTTTAGTGTCCTGAGGAACCTCTACACAGCTTCCATAGTGGCTGGACCATTTGTCTTCCTTTTCATGTGCATCCTTTTTTCACCTTAGGTTTGTTATTAAAATGCTGCCATAGCCTTGTCTAGTAATTTTCCAGAGAATATGTCATATTTGATATTACCAGAGATTAAGACTAATTTCTACTTAATGGATGGGAGATAATTATAGTAGTATCAATAAGAACAGTAATAAGAATAGTAATAATTACTGTTGAAAACATTTGTTTTTGATGTGCCAGAAACTGTGCTAAGCACATTGCATTTATTACCTGATTTGATTTTCTGAACAGTCAAGGCATACTTAAGTCACTTATTGCCTGAGGTCACAGAATAGCAAGTGAAGGAACAAGGAGTCAGATCCAAGCACCCCAACTTGTCTTATATGGACTGGAAATCTCTTAAACTTCAAGTTACACCAGGAAGCACTTTGTTTAGAAATAGTTACACGCTTCTTCTACTGTATTTTCCCTGTTTCTCTTTTATAAGCTTTGGTAACTGAACTGTCCTGTCATGACTACACAGATGCTCACAGAAGATACTGCTAAGTTCTCAGAGCAAGTTATCATGTAAACAAGTCTGAAAGTTTGCATACGATAAGGTTAACATTGCCAGAGAGATAAAGTGGTTTTATAGAAAAATAGGATTTGCATAGTGGGAATACGAGCAAGTTTTAGTACTTTACAACACACTCATTTACACAAGCCTCCTTTTCTTGCATAATGTAACAAATAAATGAGGAAAGGATGTCATGGAAGCAGAGTTAGGATTTAGTGACTTTATAATGACAGCATAGTTTCAATAATGGAGGTAAATGGCAACCAAGAATAATAGGCAAGTAAATAGAATCCCTAGTCTTTGATTTGTTTGGATATTTACTCAGCTTAGACTCTGTAATTGCTGAGAGCTTTTTAGAAGAAAGAAGTGGAAGAGAGCACCTGCATTCTCAAGGCTAAGAGCTCCCTTTTGTAAATGCACTGCTTTTTAAAAGAGGGTGTGTGCATGTTTAATGTGTGGGTGTGTTTGTTTAAGGAAGACATTGAGCTTCAAAGGCAAAATGTTTTTGTAATTGTAAATGGAATTATTAAATCTAATGATGAAATTAAAATATAAACTAATTTGTAAACAGAGCATGTATGTGGGGTTCCACTTGAGGCTCAGTTTCTATCCAGCAGAGGAATCTTAGGTGTTCTGCTTTAGTCCTGTCACCACCCCCAGAGACAGAACCTCATTTTTGAACAGTCACAGATATTAACCCAACCCAGGGGGCAATAAGTTTTTTCAGTTCAAAGGAAGAAAGGAATTTTACTTTCTGGCTTATATCCTGATTTTCCCAGGAACTGATTGTAGATAGTGGGAATCCACCTTTAGAAAAAGGTGTGGGTAACCGCAGTCTTGTAGCAGAGAAAAACTTCAAAGTAGGAGGGTGAGCCATACAGTTGCCCTAGGGTTGGGAGAGACAGATCTGGAATGAGAGTTCTGATCTCATAAAATTCACTTTACACTTTTCAAACTGGCAGGTCAGTCTTTGTACTGTAGTTCTTAATCAGTCTGAGCTGAATTTGGCACATGTAATTATTTCAGCGTAAAAAATAGCCATTAACTATTATGAAGAGTTTTTAGAATTAATAGTGGTGTTGGGAATATTCAAATACTTCTTTGCACTCACCCTCAGGTCTTTACATTATGCCTTTCTATATATTCCAGTGACATTGTTTGAGGACGAAGGACACGGGTGGCACACTGAACAACTGGTGATCAAAGGTCTATCTCAGTAGTTTCGATCTCTCATTCTATTAACCACAATGAAACATATATAACAATATTTAACATTTCAATCACTGAGTCTTCAGTGGTCTTAACAGTGTGTGTATTCACAATCTTTAGTAAATATCAACACTATCCATTTCTATAACTTTTCTGTGATTGTTTAACAAGAAGTTTCTCTTCTTGATAGATTTTTTAGAGACATTCTTTGTTTCTCCTTAGTAGCTAAACAGCTATCTTATAAAGCAGATAGGAAAAAGTAGAAAACAGTGAGTCAAGTGGTGTTGATCAGATTAATAACTTGTGATTGTGAATATTTGACGCTAATATCCGAAATACTTGATCACAAACCAACATTTTGGAATTTAATGTGTGCAAAAATAATAAGCAACCTTATCCTTCAACTCGTGAACTGGGGAGTAGTTTTCATAGAACTTTAGATTTAGTTGTTGTTACTTTTATGTAGCATTTTCCATGTCTTAAATGTTCTATGTCATGTAAGTCTATAGCAGTCTACCAAAATAGATGACATCATGCCAGTTAGATAAACTATAAGCATTGTACTTCATTCTAACATTTTAATCACTCAAATTATGTCCCGCAGAAATGAGGAACTTAGTGACCGTGCTTAACCTGTTCCTTATGCAGTTGTTCAACTCAGGATAGTCATTTATTAAAACCTTGCCTAACTATCATGGATATGAAACCATGTTATGGTATGGATTTAGCATCAGAAGACAGTGCCAAGGCAGAAGACAGTTTATCGATTGTTTATCAATTCTCACCCTGCACATAATTGAAGACCACTCAAGCTCAGGGAACAACAATGGAATTTATTTATACACAGGGGAAACAAAGAGTTAAGGCCATGGTGGTGGGCTTTCTCACCCCAGATATTGTCCACAGTGGCCAAAAATCCCAAACAAAAGGCTGTTTGTGCAAGATAGTGCTGTCCCATCAATGAGGGACTGGAACTCATGGCACACTGGCAAGCAGTGGGCCAATGTCCAACTCACTGTGGCAGCTGGAGGTGCTCACAGGTGAGCCTGCTGAGATAACCCTGCATCAGGCCACAGCAACAGTCTCTGAAGGCTGGGCTGGACAGTAGCAGATGCTGGACAGACAGTAGCAGAGGCAAGAGCACCAGGAGATGGTACCGGATAATTAGAAGCAGTGAACAGCTTTCAGAGGTGACTCAGACACTGAGCTAGGCACTTGTCAACAGTGCTGGATAGCACTGGCCAATATTGTCAGTCATCACCAGTTACCAGGAGACAGTGTTAACAGCTCTTTGTGAGTTTTTGGTCTCTGCCAATACTAACAGCTCTTTAAGACACCAGGCTGAGGTCTTTGGTGCTCCTTTCAGGCAGTGCAGGAGGCAGGGCCAGAGGCCATTGCAGCAGATAGGTCTCTGAAGGTCTTCAGCTTTTCTTTTTCAGCACTCAGTTGCAGAATCCTCCTTCTTTCTTCAGAGTTTGGCTGGTGAGCCTTCTTTCTTTGGAGGTGAGGAACAGAATCCCAAGCTGGCTCCTGCCCTGCCTTGTCTCCTCTTTCAGGATGCCCACCCTACCAGCTCAATTGGACATTATTAATCCCAGGTGATCAACTGGACCATTTTGCACCAATAAACCCATTCTTGATTTTGGATCTGAATGATTAATGAGATAGGCTTAAATCTTGATTGGTTCTTTTAGCCCACACCTGATTGGTCCATACTACAGTCTGGGCACCAGATATCAAAGGGAAAACTTGGTGCCTGCACAGAACCAGCCTGTCCTAACCTCAGGACAGCCTCATGGGCTGGTGGGCTTCTTGAATGAGATAGTGCTTTTACTTTCCAAAGCAGAAATGGAATTTTGAGAAACAATACAGAGATGACTGCAGAATTAAAAGTATGAAATATTTTAGGGATTTTAGGGATCATGGTAGAATGAGTGAATGTTTTTTTCAGGGTGACCACCAATGTGATCAAATTTCAGTTATATTCTGACTATCATTCTGCTTTAGATGCAGATTCTGGGATGAACACATTGATTAGTCTGAATGGTCACAGTGAAAGTAGGGAGATCTTTCAGCCAACAGCTTCAGCAGGCTGCTCTTATTGGCATAGCAGCCTGTTAGCAAAACTGACATTTTAACTTTCATGGAAGGGATTCCACAGCTTTCTTGGCCTTTCCCCACTGGATGCAGGTAGTATTCCCCTAGTATAACTACCAAACATTGCCAATTATCTCTGGAAAACAAAAGCTTTCCGTCTGTGTCCCCCC